TGTACATTTATTTATTTATTTATTTATTTTAAATCTCAGTGATTCATTTAAATATAATTACTGTGTCCTTTTGTCAAAATGTGAAGTTCTTTTACTGTGTGAGGTTCTTCTTTTGAACAGCTTTGTATATGTCATTGAACTTGAATAATGAAGTGATAATGACTATCTTCCAACATTGAGAATTCTGTCTCATGCCTCTATTGTGTGTTTTTGACATAATCTGTATTATCTTGTGCATGTAAATTATGTTTTTAACAGTTCTGATGACTGTAATGAATGTATAATGAATCATGTTTTTGTCTTAAAGCCTCAGGAGGACATCAGCTGTGTGTCCTGGAACAGGCAGGTCCAACACATCCTGGCCTCTGCCAGCCCGAGTGGCCGGGCCTCAGTGTGGGACCTCCGCAAGAATGACCTCATTATTAAAGTTAGCGACCACAGCAACAGAGTACGTAGTTTCTGCTGCACTCAGAAGTCTTACACATGCTGTTTCTGTCTGCCCATCTTAAACCGTCCACTGTTGTGTGTGTATTTGTGTTTTAGATGCATTGCTCCGGGCTGGCTTGGAACCCAGAAGTGGCCACTCAGCTGGTCATGGCCTCTGAAGACGACCGGATGCCGGTCATCCAGATGTGGGACTTACGTTTCGCTACCTCCCCTTTCAAGATTTTAGAGAATCACACACGGTAAACACACATGTTGAATTTAGCTTTCCTTTGCAGTATTAAAGGATTTAAAACATATTATCTTTGTCTCCAAAGCAAAGCATCTTATTCTTCTGTGTCCTAGAGCTCTGTTGTTCTTTTAACCACACAGTTTGAGATTGGATTTGTTGACAATAACAAAAATATAGAATATCGCCAACCTAATCCCTTAAAATGTGGCTTTTTAAGACATAATGTGCTGTTCTTTATATACAGGGGTGTCCTGGCCATCGCCTGGAGCTTGGCTGATCCCGAGCTGCTCCTGAGCTGCGGGAAGGACAGCAGAATCCTGTGCTGGAATCCAAACACAGGAGAGGTAAAACTATATAGGTCTCATTTACATGCAGCTCATTGACGCCACCAATCTACTGTTGTCCCTCTGATGTTGGTAAATCATCTGTTTGAACCTCCAGGTGCTGTACGAGTTGCCCACCAGCAGTCAGTGGTGCTTTGACATCCAGTGGTGCCCCAGGAACCCTGCGGTGCTGTCTGCTGCATGCTTCGACGGACACATCGACATCTATTCCATCATGGGAGGCAGCAACCAGGCGCAGAGCCAGAGACAAGCCGACCAGGTGAGAAACAAGAGGGCAGTCGAATAATACTCAACCTTAGTCATTGTCTGCTTTTATAGTTTGCAACTGTTCTGCATTTATTTACTCTTCTAGTGTTGAACCTACTCAACCTCTGTCCATATTGGCTTTTTATTTAGAGCTGCACATCATAAACTTAACTGATTTCTGGCATCTTCAGCAGCACCTCTGTGTCTAACCTGACTCTGGGTGTTCGTTACAGATAAGCAACTCTTTTGGGAACATGGATCCTTTTGGGACTGGACAAAGTTTACCTCCGCTGCAGCTGCCCCAGACCGCAGCCCCTTCTGGGACAGTCCTCCCCCTGAAGAAGCCACCCAAGTGGATCCGCAGACCGGTTGGAGCCTCGTTTGCTGTGAGTTTCTTTACTTTCCATGACATTGAGAATCTTTGTTTTACCATCTGAAAACACAGTTACATTTATCTGGCTTTGGTTCACTCCACAGTTTGGTGGGAAGCTGGTATCTTTGGAGAACTCCAAGCCGAACCCTCAGCAGCCTCAGCAGCCCACTGCACACGTTGTACATATCAGTCAGGTTGTTACAGAAACAGCCTTTTTGAAGCGCTCCGATCAGCTGCAGGCCACTCTGAGTGCAGGCAGCTTCGTGGATTTCTGCCAGGGAAAGATCGATGCAGCCGAAAACGAGTTTGAAAAGACTCTCTGGTCATTCCTCAAGGTAGTAAAAAACCCCCAAATCTCAATAAACTTGGACATAAATTATTATATTTGCAATAAACAATGGGGTCATTCTTTAAGCTGTGTCTGTTTTGTCTTTTCAGGCTAATTTCGAAAGTGATATCCGCAGCAAGTACCTGGAGCTTCTGGGGTACAACAAAGAGGAGCTGGCCTTAAAGGTGAGGTGTATTTTCTTGGCTCTTTTGAACACACTTTATATATATTTACTCAAAATATTTCAATAGTTCAGTGCTTTTATCAGGTGTGTTTGAGTACATCTTGTGATAACTGTGCCTGTTTTGTTGTCAGATTTCAGCAGCGCTAGAGGAAAAACCTGTTGAACCTCTGCAGGTAAGTTCGTTTAGTGAGCAACATAACTATTATAAGTTAAAATAAAATATGATTAAATAAAATATCAACAGTTAACCAATAAAAATATTAAGAAATATTAAGATATTAGAGGTAAAATCAGTAAAATAAGTAAGAATAAAATATGATAGGAATAGTTAAACATTTTGGGAGCTTATTCGCAGTCTTGCAGAGAGTTAGATGAGAAGATCGATACCTCTCTCATATCTGTCCGTCAGCAGACTCTTAGTTTAGCATTAAGATTGGAAACAGGAGAAACAGCTTGCCTGGAAAGCTCAAGAGACTCTAGGAAGTTGTTGTGCCGGACAAAAGGGATTACACAAACAAGATGTAACTTGTTAATTAGTGAGCATTAGAGGTGTTGATAGACAGACCGTAAGAGAGGCCAGTGCTTAGCTGTTTCCACCTGTTTCCAGTCTTTAAGCTAAGCTATGCTAACAGATATTCTTTCACCTATTTAAAAAATGTATCTCCGGTTCGTCATGTGGTAAAAACATCACCTCCTAATATGACCCAAATATTATTTTATGGTTGTTTTCTAATTGCGCTTCATTCTGGTGCCGCACATTATTTTTCATTTTCAGATTCCTG